ATGCAGGCACGTGGTTTACAAGTAAGAGAGGACATCGTAAGTCAGTACTACTCCAGTGCGTGGGGTGTACTTAAAGTTTTTAAAACAAAGCAAAGAACTATGTTTTGCTATTTCAATCAATTTGGTGGGTTAAGTCCAAAAAATAGATGCTAGAGAGTTTAATTGGTATTTGGAGACAAAGACTCATGTCATAGCTCTGATTGTAAATAATTCATGGTGCCACTATTAGGGAATATGCTCGTGACTCCAAAATGGACAAAATAGTTTTAATTGTAAACTTTATTACTAAAAAAAGATACCTTTACAATTACTTTTGAAATTTATCTTAATTTAATAATGAAATATAATCATCAAAAAGTGGCTTTTTAAAACTCCCTTGCTAATTTCTAAAATGCAACGCTATTCGTGGCACAAAACGTAACGTCAAATTTCACTCGACGTCTTCTGTCAACAAGTTGTTTGTATGGTTCTTAGAACTTCTCTCTTACTCTTATAAATTGAATTGATTGGTACGAGGAATTATTCGGACTAATACCGGCCGCAACTTTCCGCCATCGCTCCACACGGCAAAACTTTCATCCCCACCACTTGAATAACAGGCGCCTAATACTGTTCGCTTTTCAAGACACTTTTTGCCTCGCACAACCAATCTGTGGAACAAGTTATCGCCGGACCGATGCGACCTCCAACCCTTCAAGAAAAGAGCGTACTCCATCCTCAAAGACCGCCAACGCGCTTGTGACTGCTGAGCTGCAGGCGTTCATGGGAGGCGATTGTCGCTTTCCATCTGGTGACCCGTTTGCTCGTTTGCCCTCTATTTTATAAAAAGGCATATGTTTACAGTCATAGCATATTCAAGCATAAGCCTATATATTAGGTATTAAGAATATAATTATTTTACATGTTTTGTGGCTTATATAATTCTTAAGAATACAACATAGTTAAAATATATTGTATGTATTGTATAAATCTTCACGAACTTTTCGTGTTTTGGTAAAAAAATTACGTGCTAATGACTTAGGAAAAATTATTTTCACAACAGTATAAATAGCTAAAATACGATACATTGTCTCTTCTCATCGCCTTGCACTACTTTTTCATAAGAAAATATACATTGTCAGATGCAATTTTGATCTCGTGATGTGATGTTTGAGGAAAGACACAATATTTATGATAAACTTTTCTGTGCTTCTCTATGGTAATAAGTTGATTTTATAACTCACTTTTTTAACTTTGTGAACCACACTTTGTTGTTGACCTCAAACTCTCTGTAATCTCACGTCACAAAATAAAAAAATGGCCGCGTTGTAATCGCCCAAAAATGATAGTGATTTTTGTAACTTTTTTAACTCATTGGATATAGTACGGAAAACTAGAACGTGAAGTTATTAAAAAAAAATAGAGGGACTAAATTGTCCCTCTATTTTTTTTTAATAACTTAAACTTAACTTAACTTACTTAAAAAGAAATGTCATTTCTATATAAAAATATTCTTAAAACATATTATTCTCATTAACCAAATCATTTAGAAAATGAAAGAGAAAATCCCAAACCGGCTAGTCCAGTAATGATCCTATCAGCTTTGTTTATATTTACTTGAATAGAAACTTCCCAAGTCTCTTCCTAAACAGGTTCCATCTTGCCCATTAGTTTACTCTTCAATGGGATCGCAACCTAAAATGTTACATGTACATTTGAGTATCTATACATATATTCGTTAGAACTCAAAAGCTTAAACTTGATTCTATTACGGCTTTTACTTAGTATGGAGTGCCCTCGAGCTAAATGGACCTTCGATCTTAAGAAGGTAAATGGGTGGATTGCATTATGGTACATGGGGTAAGATTTTGAATCGCGTCTTTACTGACTAATTAATACGTAAATTTTGGCCTTAACTAAGTTAAGAGAGACTATTTTAAAGTGCCAAACATTTATGAATAATTTGTATTACAGTATTTTAATTATGCAAAACATAAAATATATTTATTTGTGTTTAAAATTATAATTGTAAGCAAGTTCTTAAAGTTCTGTGTAAAATTTCTTCGAATACCTACTTCTACGTATATTTTAGAGATAATTTTTGTTACACACAATAAAATATATACACAATAGATACACATTTTTTTCAGTTAGACATTTTGTGGAAAAAGTCATCCGGTACCAAAAAAAATTATGACAATCTATGAAACACAACAATATAAATTATTACGTAATTTAAACCTTGTTAAGGTTTAAAATACGTAAATATTAGAATGTTACAGTATTAGATGCAGTTTCACTTTTTTTTTTCCTTAAAACGTATTCTCAATTTAAAAAATACACTTATTTCTATCAACATAAATGTGTCTAGTTTGACTATGAGTTATTGCATAGTTGTGAGCATTTGTGTTCCAACTAGTTATGCAGTAGATATGGAAATCAGTAAAATTTAAAATTTTAAATAAATTTTAAAGGCAATAGAGCTAATGCAGTTGCAATAACATTTCAATTACAAGTTCATTATTTTATCATTATAAGAAAAAAATATAATTATGTTTGTCGTCCTACGCATTAAATCTTCTTTGGTTCTTAACATTACTTTATACTTTCATAATTTTATCAACTTTACATGTAACTTACTACCTACATATGTAAGTTAATCACTTGGAGCTTATCTTATGACGAAACTAGGAGGTGTGAAAGTAAAGTAGTTGTGATCCCGAACTGCTAAAAAATAATTGTGTGATGAACACGATCATTTGTTCTATGTCTGGGTGTAATTTATCTATATAGTATGTTTATCACCAGTCTGGTTACCATAGTACAGGCTCTGCCTAGTTTAGAATCAGACTGCCGTGTGTAAGATGTGTGAAGTTATTATTTTTACCCGAAGTTCACATTTTAACAAGTTTAGTAACGGCAAGGCAGCAATGTTTATAATTTGATTTGCCATTAAGTATTAACGAATCAAATAATGCTACACTTAGTTTGAACAACATTAAGTATATCTAATAAACAAATGTTATTAAATAGCCACCTCTACATAGCGATGGGAAAATTTAATCGATTTGCATTTGAGGACACGAGGAGATTACTGACGGGTCTAACGCATTTAAAGTTCGTCCTCTGAATATTATATTACATCAAAGGGCCAAAATTAAATTCGTGTCCTTCGCATTCATAGTACAGAAATTGACTCGCCTATGAATATAATATATCACATTATATGCATTAATTTGGTTATCCCTATACCGCAATATTTGGTAGTGTATTTGCTATTTTGTATTGGGTAAGTGTTGATTATAATATAACTAACTTGCTGTACCCTGCCACGCTTTGCGGTGCCAGATTGTGGTTGCGTAAGCGTATTTTTTTATATTTTACCTGTTACCGCAACTTTAGCTTTAGTATTCATACTATCCAGAAGTAATATATAGGTATAATTTTCATAGCATTAATACAATCAATCAATTTTGGTTTATGTTGCGCACTTGCAAAGATTTTTTTTAAAGAGAATACTAGTATTAGGGGAGATTCGCTAGCGTTTTTTATATTGTACATCATTTTGTTCCTTATACATGGATTTCGTGTGTATGTATTAAGAAATCAATGTTGGAACACCGACTCAAGAGAGCAAGTTAATCAGTTCATGCTAAGACTTAGATTTACAACGATTGTTTACATATGGATATACCCTTGCAAGCCTCACCGAACTAATTCTCAAGCAAGTTACAAATATATACATGTATAGTTGCTGATACAAGCTCAGGATCTAAACGTTTTCTGCGTAACCCGCTCTGATTGTTGCACAAAGGTTAAAGACCAACTGGAAACTTCGGCCCTTTGCTTCAAATACAAAGAAACCTCATTCTAAACTTGGCAGTAAATAGTGATTCTCAATATACTCGTATATTGAGTTTATATAATTAATAATTTGTAACTTTGTTATTTTTACTGAGTGGCACTTGTAAGTGAAACTACTTAGTGCCGAAAAGATATGCCTATTTATAAATATTGAGATTTTATTAATATTAAGACTCAGTATATTATGCAGTAGGTATATAATCTAAATTGTAATATAAATAGGCAGTCAAAATTAGGAATACGATAAGTTTGATTCATTGTCACCGTATAATGTATAAGTATAACTTTAACTGTTATCTTTTATTTTTATCTGAGTAGGTACAGTAAAATAACAATTTCTTCAAGCAGGAAAAAAACGTAGCACATAAAGCATAAGGAGTACAATCAATTGACAAGTAGTAAGACGGCATACATGTCAACACAAGACAAATTCTAGCGTTTTTTTGTTATTTTTGGTTATGTCAATCAATTTTCGTTATTTTCTGTATGTGTATTTCTGTATATTTTTTGTAACAAACAAAGCATTCGGCTTGTACAATAAATCTTTTTTGAAACCTATGAATCTTTTACTTTAATTTAAGTTTATTAGTTACTTTCCAAATATCTACTTTTAGTTATATTTGAAAATAAATCATTAAAAGAAAAGAATAATGTCTAAAGGTGATAAACAGTTAAGCTACCCTTAAATAACCCCTCCAAGGTCATATTATTTTGCGCTGGGTTTACTGAACCACGATACGATTCCAATTGTTGTAATTTCACGTCTGGGATATTACTTTTCTCTTTTTGTTTGTAATGTAAATTTTCCTCGTTCTGTTGAGAGCTCCATCTAAATCGCTCCTATTGTATCGATACAATGTCAGATAACAAAAGATTTAATAAAGACTACAGTTTGCTCATTAAAGGGTTTCTAATTCGTGTGTCACGCTAAATTAGACAATTAGACACTGACTTCTTTCTGAATTTTTGTGTTGTGATGTATCTATTAAGATTTCCTGTTTCATCTAAACTCTTAATAATAATTAATCGGGCATTAACTGGAAAATTAAAAACGTTTTGTGCTGGAAGAAATCATTTCTGGGATTCAAAGAATGACCTTTGTTTATAAAATGACACTGATAACGGTGCTGTTGTTTTGCAGTTTTCTTCTAGTTAAAATGGAGTCAGAGATTAATAATATGTTCAAAAAATTCGAAAAGACATATAATAGAAAGTATCGGGGCGTGGCAGAACATAAAAAAGCGTTAAAGAATTTTAAAAATAATTATAAAAAAGTTGCGAAGCTTAATAAAGGCAAGATTAAAGAATTTGAAGATACGGGGATACACAGTTATCATTTAAATAGATATGCAGATCAAGATGCCAGAGAACTTCTCGAACATTATGGCGTTACTATGTTACCTTGTAAGTAATATCATTAAATTCTTTCTTTTAATTCTCTTGCGTTGTAACTTAATGCAGGATAAGTAAATGCAGGCGTCCAGTTCATTGAAAAAAAATATATTTCTGTTTAATATTGATAGGGCGTTTAATCAGCTTAGGTACGTGGTATAATGTTGCTCACTATTTAGAAACAAAAGTAATAGTTATAAACTTTCCTTTGAATGACGTTCCTTTTACTTTACATTGACTTTTTTACATTATAAAGATTAACATTTAATCTCATTACAGATTACTTGGTAAAGAATGAGCAAGACTACTTACATAAATATGAGGCAAATATGAAAAAACTCCCTATTGATAACATGATAACTCCTAATATGAATTTGTATAATTTAGATGATACTGAAAGAATATATGAAAATTTTAAGAAACAATATAATAGGAAAAATTATACCCAGCCATATGAAAAAGCAACACATTATCAAAGATTTTACAAAACCCTTGTGGAACTTAATAATAAAAGATTTAACGGAGATGATGAGGCATATATAGATAGTGAGGCTGATGTAATTAAAAAACCTCATGAATACTTTTTTGAAAAAAAATAGGAGAAATAATGTTTTAAATAATAATAACCTGTACTTTTTACACAATTTAGTCTACTTACAGCCACTTTGTAGTAATGAAACAGAAATACGAGTATGAGGTCTACCAATAAGAACGTCCTGGTTTAAAAATTGAATAAAACACACAATATTTTTTATGAAAAATGCATCCGATTGAATTATTTGATAGATAATTTTATGCAATTTATGTTTTAAATAATATATTTTTGCAGACGGTCACCCACTCACGCCACTTTTCGATGACGCGGTGCACCATTTCGGCCGGTATGTCGGCTATGGCTCGTTGAATGTTAGTTTTTAGGTCACAAATTGTAGGTGGATTATTGCTGTACACTTTAGATTTAACGTAACCCCAAAGAAAATGGATGGCTAACTGATCGGTCCATTTCTTGAAATTAACGACTCACCAAACTTTCCACGCAATAATTCCATGTTCACTCGAGTAATGTGAGGTGGTGCACCGTCTTGTTGAAAATAAAGGTCGTCTGCATCAATATCATCAAATTCTGGAAAGAAATATTCAGTTAACAACGCCAAACGCGCTCGCCATTCACTACTGTGACTACAGGGTTTCCTTCGTCACTTTCAAAGAAGTACGGACCAATGATTATACCGTACCATAAACCGCACCAAACTGTTATTTTTTGCGGATGCAATGGTGATTCATGAACCACACGTGAATTTGAATCACTCCAATAGCGACAATTTTGTTTATTAACAAATCCATTGAGCCAGAAATGGGCCTCATCTGAGTAGATGATTTTACGATGAAAATCGTCATCGGCTTCCATCATCATATTCGGCAAATTCACGACGGATACAATGGTCAGATGGCTTCAATTCTTGTGCCAAAACAATTTTGTATATGTAGGCCCAAATCCAACCACAAAATACGCCAGGTGGTCATTGGAGAGAGCCCCAACTCTTGTGAACGGCGTTGAACTGATCGATTTGAAATTTGAATCAACACTGGCCTGAACGGCTGCGATATTCTTTTCACTACGGGTATTTCTTTGTGTCACAGGCACAGCAGTATCGTGGTGAGTGAATTCACTTTCAAATTTTGTTATTATGCGATTTATAGCGCGCACAGAAGGAGCACTATGACGACTGTTTTTTGCGCGAAGCGCTCTTACTGTAGCGGTAGGAGAACGCAAATTTGCGTAATAATTTTGGACTATTTCCAAGCGTTGGTTTAAAGTGAAACGTGACATGATAAAATGGCAAACCTTACTGAACACAAATGTCAAGAGACGTCAAAGATGCATCATCAAACATGGCCGCTATCAGCTGTCAAAACCAAGTCATCCCTATTGGTAGACCCAGTATAAACTATTTGTTTCTTACCTTTCTTTTTTTCGTCAATTTAAAGGGTTACTTTTTGTAGAAACATAGCTGTTATAATTGCTCTACATTCAAGATGATGGAGTGTAATATTTAGAAAGATTCGAATGTTATATGATTTGATACTAAAACTAACACTTTAGGATCGTTCTAAATAGGTCTATTGTGATTAACACAAAATGGTCAACACAAGGGGTACTTTTATATTCTGCGAATATATCATCAACAGTAGTAGATTGATCCCTTAGTCGTCTCTTACGACACCAACGGAGTGGATAGGGGTACACTCCGTATTCTTAATCCGTCACCACAAATATATACGGCTATGTATATTAGCTTGTATCCATGAGCATAGTCTATGTAGCTCTGTGTATAAAAAAATAACAAATTTCACAACTTAAGTTCAAATATAATATACAGATCAGAATAAACGTCTTTAATTTTCTAATTTGAATTATTAACTCTCAAAACGCCATTCCATGTTAGGTATATCAAAAAAACCATGGCGTATAAAACTTTTATAGGTCTTATATGCTATTGAAACCCTCCTTAATCCTGAAAGAATTGTTATTCAAGTACTATAAAAGCGAAATAATCTTTGTTAACTCGTCGTCATCGTTTATTGTTATAAAAATTCGAGCGAAAGAACGAACTCGCGTTCACTGGTGTACTCCTCGAAATCCGCAGGCCAGAGAAAATACAAGGAGACATGTCGTACGTTACTTTGGTGTTTCCATTCTAGACAGCTTAGAGTAAAATGTACTGTTTTATGCTTTAAATTGTTGAATGAATATATATATAGCATAATATATACATTTCCGTATTGTTTTAGGGATCTTATCTTGCATCTAAAGTTCTTACGTAGTACAGGAATAACTTAAAAATGTTAAAAATGTAGGTTATATGATTTAAGTAAATTGTAGTAGAAACGCAACCATTTATTAACTGAACCTTTAAAAGTAAGAAAGTGTTCCACTGTCCACCTTCCAGCTTTATCATTAGAAAGGGATATATAGACCCAATCTGCTGGGTTTACAAAACTGAACCACAGTTTAACTTACATTTTATCTCTAAAGACTAGAAAAGTTACTATAAAAGTTATCTCTAATAACTATAATAAGCAGTTCAGTACTGAATGACACTTACATAAACGCAGACATTGAGACGCCTATGTCCAACAGTAGACTATAAATGGCTATTGATTATGATGACGATGAACCGCAGACATACTTTGAAAGTTTTATTCCTTTTCTGCACGAATTTAATAAACGACATAAAATTTCATTGGTCTTATATGGGTCCTTTTTTACATAATGAGAAAACGCACGTGGGGCAAAAATGCAAGTGTTTAAACAAATGACAGTTAAATATTACCATAAATACAAACTTATATTATACTAGCTTTTACCCGCGGCTCTGAACGCGTATAAGGGTAATCGCGGTAAAAAGTTGCCTATGTTTCTCGCTGATAATGTAGCTTTCCATTGGTGAAATAATTTTTTAAATCGGTTTAGTGGTTTAGGCGTGAAAGCGTTACAAACATACAAACTTACTTTCACATTTATAATATAAGTATGGTTGACGTACACTATTCACACGGGAGCGCTCGCTTACGCAAAATTAGACCTGCTATTTAATTAATTACTCGATATTTTATTCAATGGTGGCGATAAAACTATAACAGCATACAGCAGTTACAGTACTTTGTGTTAACGTCCAAGTGAGCGGGGATTGAAAGCTTAGCGCTGAACGTTATTCTGACACTACAGAATTTCTCTAGGGATGAACTACACTGAAATAAATGGTTTAACTACAGACAAACGTCGTTACGTTTGCAACTGTTTGTTCGACTTCGATATAGATGTAACTACATATGTATTGTCTATCATTGTATGTGTAGCGTGCTTCGAATGTAATTACAGCGACATAATACAAAGTCGTTTTGTCATGTGTTTACCTATGTTGTTTGCAGAATGATGGAAGGTTCTTTACTTTAATTATAAAACAGTGTATTACTGTCTCGGCTTAGATGGTTGCCTATTCGTCAATACCGAAAAATGCGCGCACTCTCAATTATTCTGTACAATATTTTAATTCCCCATCTTATTTAAATAAGATGGGGAATTAAGAATGCACACATCACATTTCCAACTTTTATGCAATAACCGTAACAGAAACCTTGTACTTTGTCCTGCTCACACTACTGAATTTGTTGGTTCTTCCTTATTCGTTCAGTCTGTCCTCTTGTAGAATGCTCTTCTTCTCGAAGTCTGTATATTGCTCTGCTTATTTTTAACTCGAACTCAAAATATCTTTATTTCATAAAATTGATTGAAATCGTCTTTTAAAGTCATATATCAACACATACAATAGCAGCAATCTCTGTTTTGTCAAATATTTAGAAAAATAAATATAATAAAATGATACCTATCGAAAATCTATTAGATACTTGTGCCGATCTAGAACCGCAAGTTATAACTTATGAGAAAAAATGGCAAACAAACTCATGACCAATCTTTTAACAGGTAGATACAATGGCATCATTGAGCATACCATAACATTGTTTTGATGTGTGCCAGTATATCCTTTATAAAGGATTAAAATCTGAAAAGGCAATGCAGAGAAAATAAGGTAAAGAAGAAAGTTGTAATAGAAATAATGTGAAGTAAAACATAAAAAATTGGAAAAAAAAAGACACACTAGCCCACGCTACATTTCTACTTAAGAAATAGCTTGTGTGAAATTAATCCCCAGAATTATTGTTTTCTATGAAATCCATAGTTGAGGCTCTCTGACAAGATTTACGTTTTATTGCGGATTTGAATTTGTTTATACTTAGGTCTTGTATATTATTTAGGATTTTATTATAAAATCGGACACATTGACCGCGAAATGACTTGTTAAGATAGATGTAAAGTAGGTGTTACTGAATGAATTGGCGGAATAATCGTGTCCTTAGCTCATAATTTAATGTTTCATTTCATTTGAATGTATGTATAAGTGCATATAATTGGAACGAAGTTCCTTATCGCGCGTTGTGAAAGGGGGCTAGACGGAAAAAATTCATACGAAAATTTGGGACGCGACACTTTTTTATTAATATAAATTGACGTCTAACTGTGAATACCATACATTAAATTTGCTTTAACGATCGCCAACGTCCATACCATGTTGAATACACCGGTTCTCGTCCGATCACCGAAGTTAAACAACAGCGGGCGTGGTTAGTACTTGGATGGGTGACCGCCTGGGAATACCACGTGATGTTGGCTTTTTGCTCTTTATTTAATTTTTTACCGCAGGTTTTTTTTTTTTGGTGTATTTGGTATTTTGTTTTCGTATTTTATTTTTCTTTGAATTTGAATTGTATAGTTTTTTTTTTTGTGTAAGTATGTTCCACGGCCTACCCAAATGTCAACATTATACTTTTTTCTTGAAATTTTGAATTTAGGAAATAAAACTAAGTAAATAAATTTCAAAACACTTTAATGATCAAAAGAAGTTGGTGCTATGTACACTATTACCCAGATTTCAGTCAAAGTTTTTTTTTTAAATTAAAGTAAATCTTATTATAACATACAACGTAAGCCATGAATTTAATGAAAGTATAAACTAAATAAACTATGATTAGTAATAAT